AGCTCCCTTGAACTTCTAAAATAAATTTTCTGCAGATGCAAGGCAAACTGTAAAAGTATGTGTGGTTGCCAAAACGCAGACCTCAAATGCTCTAAAGTGTGCCTTAATTGTTCTGGTGAAACCTGCAGTAATATCATGGAAATATCAAAATTAATCAAAAGTTTCTAAGAATTTGAAAATGAATTACCCACAATTACGCCAATTCTAACTCTACTGAATTAGGAACACAGCCTCGACTATCAAAGAAAAGTAACAAACAGTAGCTGGAAAACAACTTCTTAAATATATAGTTATGCTCAATATTATCTCACTTAGAAATTGTTTGTGGATTAAGCCTAATGGGAATAACACTTAAAAACGCGCCTTCAAACTTTACTTCATACATGGTCGGGAAAAAGTAGATAATAAACGAATAATTACAAAACAATGTTAACAAAATAATAAATTTTATAAATAAAAAAATATAAATACTTATACTAGAAAACTAAGCCTAATCGTTTTTATCGTATTCTTAGAACATTGGAGTTCTCTAAAATCCAAAGAAATCAATGAAATTAAACAAATTTGTAGTAAAAATTATTCTTTGAAAAACCCCCCATAATATTGATTGAATGTAATTTTATTGTAAAATGAGCAGAAAAAAGTTAAAAGATGGTGACCGGGTGACAAGAATGACGACCCTACAAACTTAAACTTAAGTTTATATTCCACATTATTACACTCCACACATCAAAAAAGATAATTGCATCCTCTTAAAAATGTAATATTAATGTAACTTTTCAATTAACTATAATGTCTTCTTCTTCTTTTTTTATATAGGCAAATTGCCCGTTTTCTTCCTATTCGTGTGGATAATTTCGTTTTATCTCTTTATTTCCAGGGCTAATCTAACTATGATATTTTCTACCATTCTGCTAATATAATAGATTCATTTTCTTTTTCTTTCCTGTACCAATTAAATAATATTGTTTATTCTGCATAGTTTCTTATGTCATTGCTTTTTGTTCTGTTTAATATGTCTTTTTCCGGTTATTCTTCTTCGTGTTCTCATCTCATTTGTCTTCAAATATCTATGCTTGTGTCTGTACAAATAGATTAATATTATTTATTCTGCATAGGTTTCCCATATCATTGCTTCTTGTTTTGTCTAATAGTGTTTTTCCGGTCATTTTTCTTAGTATTCTCATCTCATTTGTCTCCAAATATCTGTGCTTATATCTGATCTTGTTCCTACTGTATATGTCAAGACTGGTCGGATTACAGATTTGTTTATTTCTGCTTGTTTGTCTAGATCTAGTATCTGTTTTAACGTATTGTGTCATTGTAGCACTTATCCCCTTACTTTCTCTTCAATATTTTTGTTGTTCGATAAGTTTATTCCCATATATTTAAATTTTAATACTTGTTTTATCAGTAGGTTTTCAATCTGAACTTTCTTTCACCTTGTTGGTTCCTTTGACAATACTAAACTTTTCATAATAAGTGATAAAATTTTCATATTAAATCGTTTGGCTTTGATATTAAACTGGTATAGTATTTATTGGAGATCATCTTCGTTCTCTGTTATCAAAAACTCGTCATAAACATCGCATATTATCTTTATCTCCTTGCTTGCCGGTTGTTTTTTTATTTTTACTAGCTTAAAACCTCTCAATACTATATTAAATATAAAAGAATAAATATTACAACTGGACTTCCATATCTGATTCCAGTTGTAGTGTTTATAGATTCTTTTTTTTTTTTCTATTTGAACTTTTACTTCGGTTCTGTTTCTTACATGTCGGTTCTCTATTATTTGTATGATATCAAGTAATCTGGATTATCTGTTGTACAGATGTATATCGCATCCGATAGTCTCACTGTGTCGTAGGACATTTCTAAATTAACCAAACATAGTTAGGCTAGTTCATTATATTATTATATACTTCTCTGCACAAGAAACTTGTTGTTAGTCTGGTATACTAATCTTTTCTTCAAATTATTTGATATTATTTTTAATATTAATTTCAAAATAGTACTTAACAATTCCTTTAGAGTATTATGGTCGCACATTACACCTATTGTAAAAGAAAAAACATAATACTCGTTCTCCACTCCTCATGTATTGTTGATGACCTTAACCCTTTATTAAATATTATGGTTAACTGTATAAGCCATATTTTATTAATTTTTTTTCTGTTTTTTAACTTTATGATGACTTCTTTTATCTCATGTTTTTATCATTTGCGTTAAATCATTTGATGTTATATCGGGAGTTTCAAGAGCATGTTCAGTTTCCTTTGTTCGGTTTATTTGTCTAATATTATGTTGTCCATTTTTTTTATTTATGTTGATATCTTATATTAATTCCTTAATTTCTATTATATGTCCCTCTTATAAACGTTTACTGTTTTATTGTTTTCTTCGGCCTGATTTGCCCATGTGCCGTGTTACGAACTCTCTTATATTCATAAGTCCTCTGCGTTCTTTCAGATCTATATTTTATATAAACATTATTTTTTCCTTCAGATATATTTCTATATTTTGGGTAAACATTATAGTGTACGTTTTCTTTCATTTAAGTTTGTGTTTATTTTTATTCCTCCTAGAGGCTTGTTTGCTTTATGTTGTTTTAATTCTTTTCCCAACTAACTTAGTTATCTTAATCGCATGTAACGCTTTGTTGTTAAATTATTTGATCTAGCCTACTTTGATATAGTTTTTTGTCAAAATTGTCTTTATTAATTTTAGTTTCTAGTGTTGGTAGTTTGTGTTTATGATTCTTAATCGAATTAAGATGACTTTTTTCCAAAACTAAATTGTGGCCAGTCCCTACGTTAGCATAGATCAGGCTCCCTACATCTAATATTTGCTGGTATTATTAATTTATATTTTTAGGAATATGGTATCTCATTGATTTGTGTCCAGTTCTGTTAAATGTTCTTAAAAAAGTATTACATTGACTTAAATAACCAAAATTATTATATTTCTTTCAATAAATATCAGGTTCAAATTTTTAGAAATCATAACAATATTTGGTCATTTATAAGCTTCTGTTTAAAATGCAGGTTACTTAAATATTATACTTTTGCCGTTTTTAAGATCATAAATCTATTTTGAGGTATCCATTACTTAAACAATCGCGAAATGAGTAATAACTTTCTTGGCTTAAATAGGAAATAAAGAGGGGAATCCCCGAATTATCGAAATACGCAGTGAGCGAATTGACAACACCGTATGAGTCTATAAGGTCGTGTATATGAGGCCCCAAGACCACAATACGGATAAAAATTATACTGATGAGGCTGTAAAATCGGAAATCGGCACGAGGTGGTAATGATAGGAGAACCGAGGGGGAGAGTATATGTTAAATTTTGTTTTATCCAAATAGAAACTAGGGCATTAAGAATGTTTTGTTACCTGTTTCGATATACACGACGACTAAAATATTATATACACCTGGAAATAGGAGAGGCCGTAAGGTTGCGCTATGGTTTGAGTCCTTAAGGATAGTAGGATGTAAATATATATATATATATATATATATATCGCGCAAAAAGGAGTACGACCGTCTATCCAATATAAATAAGGATCAATCAATTATCGGTCGACTAGGTGGAGAAATAAAAGACAAAGTTGATACTACTTCATCTATTTTGAAGACGTTTCGCTATCGAATTCTGATAGCATCATCAGTTCATCTAAAATTGTTTTTTACATAATAAGTACCACACATTCATGAAGAAGATGTTAAATAGTTACCTTAAAAAAGATATGTAGTTGTCAATGGTATTAAAAAGGTAGTACAAAAACTCAAATAAATGGACATCGTATGGTGATATTGTATAAACAGTTAAATAACTAACAACATTTAGAGACTTAGTAAAGATTAGCAAAGCAACAGAACACGTGGTGTAATAAGCATATATTATTTAATATAATATTAACTAGTGAAAAAGAACTAAGAAAATCATTGATTCACTTCCAACTATCCGTCTTTTTTAAGGTAACTATTTAACATCTTCTTCATGAATGTGTGGTACTTATTATGTAAAAATTTTTAGATGAACTGATGATGCTATCAGAATTCGATAGCGAAACGTCTTCAAAATAGATGAAGTAGTATCAACTTTGTCTTTTATTTCTCCACCTAGTTGACCGATAATTGAACCCACCACTCATCTGAGTGATCCTTATTTATATATATATATATATATATATATATATATATATATATATATATATATATATATATATATATATATTATATATATATTATATATATATATATATATATATATATATATATATATATATATATATATCGGAAAAAGGAGTACGACCGTCAATCCAATATATATATATATATATATATATATATATATATATATATATATATATAATATATATATATATATATATTATATATATATATATATATATAATATATATATATATATATATATATATATATATATATAAGGATCACTCAGACGAGTGGTGGGTTCTTATATCGGTCTCTAGGTGGAGAAATAAAAGACAAAGTTGATAGGCTACTTTATCTATTTTGAAGACGTTTCGCTTTCGAGTTTTGAACTGATGATGCTTTCAAAACTCGAAAGCGAAACGTCTTCAAAATAGATAAAGTAGCCTATCAACTTTGTCTTTTATTTCTCCACCTAGAGACCGATATAAGAACCCACCACTCGTCTGAGTGATCCTTATATATATATATATATATATATATATATATATATATATATATATATATATATATATATATATATATATATATACCTGATATAATATATAAAACTGATACTATACCTGATATAATCAGATTCTTTTACCTTTACAAATGCCAAATACCTTTACTCGACTAAGTGATGATTTTCTTACAGAAAAGAATCTGATTATATCAGGTATAGTATCAGTTGTGTTCATATAGAAACATTTCCATGTTTTTTTTTACAAATTCAAAGGAATATTGTGGGAACTCACATAGAACTTTTTTCCATTTTAAAAAAGATAATAAATATTATTTGTTTTATAAATATATAAAAACCAATTTTTTTAAAAAACATATAATTTATTTTCTGCAGTTGCACACTTTGTGGTTGTCGCACCATCCTCCGGCTTTTCCAAGGGTAAGGCAATGAATAGCGCATGCAGCATCATTTAACTTGACACCTTTCGCTTCCACGCTGAGTACGTCGCAGGTAAATCTTTTTACTCTATAGTGTTCCTCTAAAAATAAACGCATATTGTATAAAAATCCTTTTAGTTATACTAAAAATAAACTTGATACACCAAGAGAAGAATGTTTTCTGTGTAATGGACACCAACTAAAATATATGAAAGTTTTTACCACAAAAGAAACGATGTGTTAAAGACACGAGATAATAATAATAAAATAAAAATAGTAAAAGTAAAAACATATCTGCACGTATGTACGTTATATCCATTTAGCGATTACCAATAATCTGGATAAAGCTAGAATTTCTTCAAGAAAAATATGAATAATTATCATGAAATTCTATTGAAATTAAAAGCCAAATCACTAACAGCCAAAATAGCATTAAAAGTGGGTGGCAACAATTATCCAATAGAAAGCATATTACAAATATAATAAGATAAACATGATTGTAATAAAATGCAATACTTTCACAATACTGGACGATTTGTCGAAAGTATGAGGTCTCACTAATTCAACAAATTAGTACACTTCTCAGAGATTTGCCCACTAAAAATCATACGAGCAAGCTGAATTTTTACGAGAATATCAATTTCGGGACCAAAAAAATGCAAAAAGTTTACCATTTTAACCCCTAGGCTTTTCTCTAAAATCCTCCTCGTCGGGAGTAAAAACTCAAAAAATCTATTTATCAAGAACCTGTACGTCGTCGAAAAAAATATTTTAAAAAAAATGTAGCTGACATAATTTGAAATAAAAATTTTTATTACCGCTTGTTGCGTAGAATGAACCGTTTTCTCAAAAACAACGATTGAAGCGACCGGCGATCTTGAATATCAGTTCCGCGCGAAAATCAATGTTAAATAAAATTTGTATCAAAGCCATGGTAAAAAATCGATATCTTTAAAATAGAGTATCATATCCGTGTGAGTCTTAAATTACGTAAAGGAGTAGTAGGGACCCTTCATTACTCCGCGCAGAATAGGCTGGGTGGGGGAGTTCTCAACTGTGACACGGTGCGTACCAATGGCCGATGGGGAAGTTCCTGTAGATATGCAGAACAGGTACGAATAAGGCTTCAGCCCTGAGGGCATGACACAGGTCAGCAGCTGTGTCGTTAGTGGCCCGTGGCTGAGGAATACCATTACTAACAGGTGCGGTACCACAAAGTCACAGGTGGCAGTTAAGTTAATTTAACCGGCTAGGATACTGCGAATAATTACCAACCCATCTAGCAGGCGTGGTATTTTAAATGCCAATATACCCCTTAAATTCGCCATGTCAGATTTTAAAACAAATACAGATTTACCCCAGCTGAGTAGAATGCGTCCAAAATCTCACACTGATTTATCAGACTGTCCCAAGGATTCCCAGAAGTCACTGAAACTACATTATAGAGGCATCTGTTTCTTTGTCCATAAAACCACGCGAACAAGATAATAATCATTCAAAGTATATCATCTACAGTGGCATACCTTATTCGGAAGTTAAGCAGTAGATATCAACTCAAAATTATCCAAATATACGCTCCAACAAAAAGCCATACAGACGAAGAAATCGAAATATTTTATGACGATATACGATATATCTAGTATGCTTAATGATTCTCGTACTCAATTTACAATTTTATTTAGCGATTTCAACGCAAAAATAGGTGTAAAAGAAGAAAAGCTAGAAACATCCTTGGGAAATTTCGGTTCCCCAGGAAGAAATTACAGAGGAGAAACGCTACTAGGATTCCCACTCCAGAATAATTTATTCAACGTGAACAGCTTCTTTTACAAAAAAAAATACACAGAAGATGGACCTGAAAAAGTTCAAATGGTAAAACAAGGAACTAAATCGACTACATCATAAGTGACAAAAAACAAATAATTAAAGATGTAACAGTTCTCAACAAGTTCAACATAAACAGTGACCACAGAATAATACGAGCGAAAGTCCAAATCAACACAAAAAAAAAAGAAACATAATGATTAAAAATAAATCTCATAGTAGCTGGACACCCTCATTAGATATCAACCAATATCAGGCATATATCAATCGTAAGCTAATACTGCATGAAACCTCCGAGAACGATATTAACGACTTGAATAATTGTATCATAAACGCTTTACAAGAAACTCATCGAGTGCAATGTCCTAAAAAAAATTCAGATAGTAAAATAAGTTCATATACGGAAACGCTTCTAGAATCCACACTCTAATCTAGGAGAAATGAATAAAGCTGTTTCGAAAGCAATCAGAAGAGATTTAGGAAATTTTAAAACCGATAATATTTAACGTACTATACAAGAAAATAACAGCTTAAAAATTCTACTGAGAAAGATAACGAATGGGAAATGCCAAATTCATAAATTAAGAAACAAGAAAATGAAATAATATCACGCAGAGACAAGTTAATACAGGTCGTCGAAGAGTTCTACAAAGAATTATATGAAAGTAGACGAGAAGGTCAAGAAGGAATACAAACAACCATTTGAAAGAAGATCATGAATTAAGGTTCCGAACTAATGCCAAAAATAAATGTAGATGAGATTCGCCAAGCGTTAAGAAAAATAAAAAGAAATGAAATTACCTTCCCAATGATGGGGAGGTAAGTATGACAAAGTGATTTGATAACAAACCTAAAATAACGGTATTTAATTATATAGGAATTTGTATTGGAATTGGTATAAATGATGGGACAAAACAAACAAGACTTATATAGAAATAAATAGACCGCAGGTAATTAAGGACCACAATTTGTTAATGGGAGGTATTGACAAATTCAATTTCTTACTAACATTGTGCAGGACCTTTATTAGGTCACGCAAATGGACTTGCGAATGTTCACACATGGTACCGATTTAGCCTATACGAATGCCTGGCTAGAATATAGCAGACCAGCAACAAATTTGCAGATACCAAAGCAAATAATCTCAGATTTGGTGCACTTTCGCGCAGAAATTGCTGAATTTTTTTTAGCAATAGAATAATAAGGCCTGAATCGAAAACACATAAAAGAAATAACATAGTACGACCAGTGAAGGAAGTAACATTGGACCATGTAGGACATTTACCTAGTTTTGATAAATCGAAAAATACTTCGCATTGCAAGAAACCTAAATGCATGCAAATTTCAATTATGTTTGATCCATATCAACAATTGTTTTATGGAGTACTACAGTATATAAATTATGTATAATGTGCATTAAATAAATATTATTAGTGTTCTCAGTATTAATTTTTCTCTAACACACAGTATTTTTACCCCGTTATCTCAATGTCTTCATGTGTGGACATGATATTTTTCAAAAATGGAAAGACTTAAAATCTTAAATAAATTCAAATAACCAATAATCAAAATTTCAAATTCTTAGGCAAAGTTAAAAAAAATCATAAGCGAAAGGGTTAATATAATATAGACGAAACACATTGTTGCATATTATGAAAGTTATAGTGAGCAATGCTAAGGATATTTTGTTGTATTACAAAGTAGATTTAGAAAAGAAATCATTTATCTGCACGTCTAGCATATGAATGTCAAGGACAATCATAATCGAGACCGGTTAAAAAGATATGCCTAGATCAAAGATCCAAGATGTTTTAGTTGGAGCTAAAACTATTACGAAAACAAAAATAAAATAAAAAGAATCAAAAATTTAAAAATATTGGGATGACATAAGCATATGAAAAATTTTAAATGTTGATTAAGATATTTTATAATCAATACTTTAACACAGAAAAAAAAATGTATAGTTTATGTGTACAAAATACATACCTTTGTGTTCTGGATTATAATCTTCTGGAATCAATACATCCGGTTCATCAACTTTTGGCTGTTCATGACCAATTGGAGAAGAATTAATACTAGCAACAACAGCGAACAAGAAAATAGCAAAAAGTACACACTTCATTGTGTTTTATTATTATTGTTTAAATTTAAGTTTTGTATTAGATACTTGTCTTAAAGACTGATATGGTTGTCAGTGAAGATCTTTCTTTATATAGCACAAAAATACAATGTAAGACAAAGGGGATTTACTTATTATCTTTCCGCAGTGAATTACCATTTCCAGATGCATTGATTAATCGAACAAATAATTATTGAAAAATAAAAACGACCTCGAACGCTTACTAAAAATAATAAAGGCTGGTGATAAGAGAATTGTATTTGGAATAGTTTATGGCTTTCGATACAAAAATAGAAACTTCCAAGAACTAAATTGCTACATAATCTTATACAATCGAACTGGGTATTGGAAATTGGGATTCTCCTTATTCGGGTTTTGTGATAACTATTAATTATACAGAGGAATAAACATATATATATATATATATATATATATATATATATATATATATATATATATATATATATATATATATGTATATATATATATATATATAAATATATATATATATATATAAATAATTATATATATATTATATATATATATATATATATATATATATATATATATATATTATAATATATTTAAAATATAATATACAGGATATAGAGAAATGGCTCGAAAAAAAATGTAAAGAAATAAAAGAATTAGAACATAGACATGATTACTTTAATATGTACATGTACAAGAAGGTGAAAGAATTTTCATTCATCCACAAAAAACAACATTGCCCACTGGTAAATAACAATGGAGAGTTAATTCATAACACCAAAGATAAAATAGAAGAATGGGAAAAATTTTTACAACAGCTGTTCCGAGATGAAAGAATAGACACTACAATAAATAATGTTACTGAAAGCCCACCAATTCTAAAAGTCGAAGTGGAATATGCCATTAAACAATTAAAGACCAACAAAAGCCCTGGACCTGATGAAGTTTATCCTGAAATACTTAAATTGATCGAAAGTAATAACATTGATTTGTTAGTAATTTTGTTTAATGCAATCTACGATACTGGGGAAATACCAGAGGAATGGTTAGAATCTATTTTTATTCCCATTCCAAAACAAGCTAACTCCAGGCGATGCGCAGATTTTAGATTAATAAGTCTTATGAGCCAAGTGCTTAAAATTCTATTAAAAATACTTCACAATAGGGTATACAAAAGGTGTGAAAAAGAAGTTGGATACGATTAATTTGGATTCAGAGCCGGAATGGGAACCGGAGAGGCCTTGTTTTCACTACAAGTACTGCTGCAGAAGTGTTACGATTAACAAGAGGATGTCTTTCTATGTTTTGTAGACTTGGAAAAGGCATTTGATCGCGTAAACCATAACAAAATGTTAAATTCCTTGCAGAGCATCAACTTGGATAGTAAAGATCTCCGATTAATTAAGAACTTATATTGGAGGCAGAGTGCCAAGATGTATGATCGACGATCAAACATCTAGAAATATTAGTATAAATAAAGGAGTAAGGCAAGGATGCATACTATCCTCTATGCTGTTCAATCTTTACTCGGAACTACTATTCAAGCAAGCCTTGGAAAACCTTTCCACAGGAATAAAAATTAATGGAGAACCAATATCTAGCATAAGATATGCAGATGACACTGTCCTACTGGCTGATACAGACACAAACTTACAGGGGGTTATAGACCACCTCAAGGATGCTTGTCGAGAGTTTGGAATGAAGATCAACGAAAAAAAAAAACAAAAGTAATGGTGATCCAAAGAAAACAGAATATCCCCTTACCTATAAAAATAAATGGGAATATTTTAGAACAGGTAAACTAATACAAATACCTTGGCTGTTGGATTAATTGCAAGCTGGACCCAGAACAAGAAATTAAAGCGAGAATTGCTCAAGCTAGGGATAGTTTCTTTAAGATGCGCGTTCTATTCTGCGATACACATATAAATATTAAATTGAGATTAAAACTTGTAAAATGTTTTATCTGGTCTGTTCTTCTCTACGGAGTCGAAACGTGGACTTTAAAAATAAAGAGCCTGAATAGAATCGAGGCATTTGAAATGTGGGTGTACCGTAGAATTTTAAAAATTCCTTGGACAGCACGAAAAACAAACGAAGAAGTACTAGCTAGACTCAATGTAGAAAAAGAACTATTGAGAACAGTCAAAAAAAGAAAAACCAGTTATTTAGGGCATTTGTTGCGCAACGAGAAATACTACATCCCTCAGTTGATAATAAAAGGCAAAATAGAAGGAAAGCGAGGAATTGGAAGAAAAAAATCGTCCTGGTTAAGTAATATCAGAAACTGGACAGGACTTGGATTTGAGGAACTCTTAAGAGCAGCTGAAGATATACAAACGTTTGCCACCATAACCGCTAACCTCCATTGATGGAGACGGCACTTGAAGAAGAAGAATACAGGATGTAACAAAAAGGTAGTAGTAAATTAAATCACGTATCCTATGACCAAATATAGTTTCATGAAACCTTACTTACCTTAGTACAAATGTACATAAAAAAAAGTTACAGCCCTTTCAAATTTTATTATCTAATACTGTTTTAGTAACTAATGTCGAATTTCAACTTTAATCATCTTCCATAGTTGAACCAGACATAAATATAACCAGCTAAGGCCACTGGTTGGAATGAGATGAAATGGCAGGATTCTTGGTAGTGTCGCTTTGAAGACAGACAGCAACCGTCTTGCAATTTCTTTCCCAGGATGCACCCAGTTATTCATCTCTTGTTCAAGTTTTAGAAACAAGATATGGCCAGCAACATCAAAAGCAGGTTTTCTAGGGTCAGTTGAAAGTTCGGTATCAAAAGCATAACGAAAGTTTGCAAGACTATGAAGCCGATATTAAGAGATTGCTGCATTTGGCGTACCCTCAGACAGCTAAAAAGTTTCGAAAACAAAGTGGTATACTGGTATTTATAGATGGACTGCAGGATGTTTATATGTAACATGTTTCTTTAAATAAAACATCACCAAACGCTAATTAGAGGACAACTGTCAACCCAAGGAGTATAAAGTGACGAAAAGTATTTTCAGATCCTACCCAAAATTTAAAGAAATAAGATTTTCAGAGAATAAGGCAGTCACTACCACAAATAATCAACAACTTATTTTATCCCAGATATTAAGCATACTGCAAAATTTTTAACAAAACTGTCAAAATCAAAACCAATGATATTTTAATTTCGGAATAATAGGGCATATAAAAAATAATTTCAGAAGCCGATCCCAGGTAAGGACAGAATCAAATAATCAGATGATCAGGTCGCCCAGATCAATGTTTAGAAACCAGTCACATAGTCCTGTGTATTTTTATGTATGAGAGAGTAATAAAACAATAAATTATGTATGCAAATCCCTAAACTGTTAATACGGGTTACTCAATGAAAAACAGATATTTGTCAACAAGTTTACAGAAGTATATAGGAAAACAATTTTAAATCGAGTATGACCACCAGGTATAAAGGTTGGAGCAGAATAGAATACAATAGTTGTGAGGGTTACTAATCCCTAAATAAGGTTGCCAGTGTCGGAGTGATGGAGGTTAACAGCTACTAATGAATTTGCAAGAAATGTAAGATGTTTATTTTATTGGTTATATATAACCAATAAAAGTTTAATAAGTACCTACCTATTTGCAAAATAAAGTTTAATTCTTAAGATAAAATAAAACGTTTTATTTTATCTGAAATGAGTGCATTCCACGAAGTAAGGGTTTCAACAATCAAACATTTAATTCTTTAACTCCAGGAATCTACGACAGTAATTGACTAGATAATTACCTTCTAAACTTATTCCACAGAAAATGTGATAGTGGGTTTTTCCATTTAGTAGGAAGGTCCAAGTGGCGTATTGAAAATTCTTAACAGTTCACTAAAAGTAGTAGCAGTTTATTGTGTATACTAGTGTTATGGAAAATTTGGAAGTGCCGTGTAAACGCCGAAAAATTGGTCCTTTAACAGTTAATGAAAAAACATTAATATTTAATTGCTTTAAATCATTTACAGACAAACGTTGATGTGAAAGTGTTGATGAGACCGTTGAGTTAGTTGGCAGTACACTTGGTGTTGGAAAATCTACGATTTACAGATTTATTAAAGAAAAAAAATGTGGTAGTTTTCAAATGCCACGTAATGCTACAGGGAAACCAAAATTTCAAATAGAATATCATTTTAAAGAAGGACTTCGACGGAAAGTGCATGAATTCTTCTTTAGACAAGAATTTTCAACATTGGATAAAGTTCTTGTCTCAGTTCGAGATGATAAGGATTACTCAGAAACGAGTCGAAGTACGTTATGGAAACTTTTAAAAGAAATAGGCTTCCGCTGGAAAAAGAATCCCAGAAAGTCTATTTTATTAGAAAGAAGCGATATTGTCATATGGAGAAGACATTTTCTAAGAACCATAAAGGAAACGAGAAACCAAAAAATAAAAATATTTTATCTTGATGAAACATGGATCAACGAGGGTCATACACCAAATAAATTTTGGCAGGATGAAACTGTTACAAGTCAAAGGCACGCTTTTGTAAATAACTTATCTACTGGTATAAACCCACCATCAGGAAAGGGACGCAGGCTGATAATAGTACACATTGGCAGTTCAGACGGTTTTGTTGAAGGTGGTTTATTAACTTTTGAATCAACTCGTACCGGTGACTACCATGAAGACATGAACGCTGATGTCTTTCAAGAATGGTTCGAACAAATGATAGATCTTCTTCCTAAGAACTGTGTAATAGTAATGGATAATGCAAGTTATCACTCAAGACTTATAGAAGGACTGCCCACAACCAAGTGGTTAAAAAAGACTTGCAGAATTGGCTGAGTTCAAAAAATATTACGTACCATCCCGGATCTATAAGAAAGGAACTTTATTCGTTGTGTGCCCTTCATAAAGAAAAATTTAAAAAATACGAAATTGATGAAATTGCCAAAAATCGTGGAATGACAGTACTTAGATCCCCACCATATCATTGTGAATTAAACCCGACTGAACTAGTATGGGCACAGATAAAGAGTGAAGTTTCAAGAAAAAATACCACTTTTAAAATTCATGATATTAAACAGTTGTTTTT